TGAGGGCAAGGAGGCAGCCCCGGGCGGGCGGACCCGGCTTTTCTTTAGAAAGGGCCGCGCTCAGGAAGGGGAGTTTTGCTGTTTTGTCTGCTTCCCCTTCTTAATGGCAAAAGTTGAAGACGGATGTCAACTCTGAAGCGATTTTTTTTTTTTTGAGGGGAGGCAAAAGTGTTGTGACAGGAACGGGCAAATTTGCGGCTTCCCGTGACTGCTCGAGGAAGGCAGGTGGCGTCCAGCCCCAGGCTGCCTGTGACAGGGCGGCCGCAGGCAGCCGGGCTCCCGGTAGACAGAAATACAGAAAGGGATGAAGATGTAAACAGCTGGAGTTCCTCGGTCTAGAGAAGAGAAAGCGGAGGGAAGCTTGGTAACAGCACTCAACAAACACAAAAAGTCTCTGGCACAAAGGAAACAACTTGGACCTCCAGGTCCTTGGTAGATACCGAGATAAATAGCGCTTTCTTTATGCAGCGCGGAAGATTGAGGTTCTCTGTTTGCAAAAACCTTTGTAACGGTAAGGACGGCAAGCGTTTTAACCGCTTGTCTAGGGAGGCTGTAGTGCAACCAGGACAGGGCAAGGACATACCGGCCTTCCGGCTGAAGCAACCTGTAGCCCAGGTTTAGATCGTTCTGTGACTCGCACTTTGTTGATAGGGAACATACACCGTAAAAAAAGCCCAGAAAGTTAGTGTTTTATATGCTCTGTGCATTCAGGAGACACTGAAATGGTCTAAACATCTGGCACAAGCCAGAAGGCATTGCAAAATGATGCCTCAGAGGGTGATAAAATATCTTGCTACTTTTCTGCCTGAAATATTTCAGACCTGGAGAACTGTTTGGGGCTATTTATTTTGGTGTAGGGAGACAAGTGGGGTAATCTTCAAATAAACTACTTATAAAATGTTGGTGTTGTATGTTGTGCTGGTTTATGTGAAAACCTCATATATTTCATCACTAAATAGTATCAGTCGTTAGTACTATTTTAGAGATTAGAAAAAATTAAGCACAAGTTGGTCAACTAATTTGTCCATAATCACACAAGTCAGTAATGGATGAAGGAATAAAAACACAGGCATCTTAACTTCCACTGCCGCCTTTATAACTTTGTTGCTCTTGGAGCTGTCCTAGAGCTTTTTTTCATCCACTGTATATGGTAGATTAAAAGAAATCAGTAAAGGGCCTGTTCAGTGTGCAGTCTCATGAGGCAAAAAACTATCTGGTAAGTCAGCTTTCCAACAATACATTGTATTGAATCTCATAAGGGTCACACAAGCGTCTTCGGGAATAAAATGGCAGCAATAAGAATGCAACCTTTGTTGGTACTTGCAGCCATTTGCATATGCTGGTGGGAGGACATTTAAATTACATACATTCCTAACTGTGCATTGCTCTTCATTCATAAATCAGAGATTGGGGATTGTTTCCCAACAGGACTGGTGAATCCTAGATGAGCAGAGCAACTTAAAATACCACAGCGTTTTCAAAATATATGAGAAGCATAATAAATAATGCTATCATGGTATATAAAAATACAGGAAAACAAGGCTCTCCAACTTAAGGATGCAGAATACAACTTCCTACAGGGCAAATCCCGATCCCAGGCCAGCCCTTTATGTTCACAGAACCCATCAAACAAGATAGTGATGAACAGAAAAGTAGGTAAACTTCCTGCCTGGGTATTTTTGCAGTTCGGTAATACAGTAATCTGATCTTGCTGCTACTTAAAGAGAAGGTCCCGCTCTTACCAACCCAAGTGCAACTCTTTGTACTCCCAGCTGTGCACTCCAGCTCCTCCTCCCTTTTCACTTTTACTGTACGGTGAGTCAATTCAGGTCGCTACTCTGTCAGAAAACTAATTCAGCAATAAAAACATAAATGGTTTTGTGACAGTTTAGTGCCTGGAATCAACTCCTTGTGCAAGGAGTACCAGAGCTCGTTCCAGAAAAAAAAGACGATTGTGCAGCCTGATGTGGAAGCTCCTCACGCAGGGGGGACAGGATCACCCACTTTGAAGGCCACGAGCCTCTAGATTCAGCTGTATCACGTACACCCAAGAACGCGCTCTGACCTACATTAAGAGGGCGCGAATGCTGCTTTCTCACCCGCTCTTACAGTGTCACCCCCGATACTACCGGCTGTGTTGTAGCCGTGTGCTCCAGGCGAAAACTGGGGCTATTACTCTCACTGTAACCCGCTAATTATTGCCTTAACCATCGGCGTGAAAGCGGCTTGCCTCGACTCCGCAGCACCAGCACCGCTGGGTGCACAGCGGCACCCGCAGCCTCCCCGTCCGTAGGCTG